TGGGTTGGCAGGTGCTGTCAGTGGAGAGAGAAGGTAAGGCCTGGCGGCGGCGTGGTACACAGACTCTGACACTTCACTGCAATGGGCTACAAACCAAACATTCGCAGATGCCAACTGAGATCAGACTACAACGCCCTTTCCAGGGCCACTGCCCAGAGCGTTTCCAAGGCTGTCATCCTTATGGAAACAGACAGCCACATTGCTTTCCCCAGGAGCAGCTGGTGGGTTTGATCTCAAATAGCAGCTGAGTGCTTTAGCCAGTGCACCACCAGGACTCTGGGATGAGCGCGCCACCGCCCCACCCCCAATCCTTACGAAGATAATTGCTGTTCTGGTTATTTTCCATTTTGTGGCCAGTTTTCAACTCAAATAAGAGGCCAAGCTACCGTGGAGGTGGCCATCAGTTGGCATACTCCCTGCCCTCATGGCTGCCTGAAGGCAGTGCCTGGCAATTTCTTGCTGCTCTTTCATTCCACTTCCTAAAGAAAAGGGAATGATGGGCGTGGCCACAGGTGGGCCCAGGTACCCCCACAGAACTCCCAGGCCCCGCAGGCAGAGAGCTGTGCTCAGAAGTTTAGCAACACCATTTTTTTGCAGAGGAATGAAAGGGAAAACATAGCCTTCAATTCCTTGATAGAATTCCATTCATCTTTAGTGACACGGCTCTCTTCCCTTAAAGCACTGCTTCTCAAGGTCCCACGGGGCCTCCAGACTCGTCAGGACTCTCTGAGGTGCCGTGAACTAAACCCACGTCCACAGACTACACAGCTGCCGTTATGCTCTGTCAATTCCAGTCTGTCACGGGTGTACAGTAATGCGCACGCTCCAGAGGCTAAATGAAGTGATGGCAAAAGAGATGGCACGCAAACGCCACTGTGACATCTGGCTGTCCTCTAACCCGAACATTAACGCGATTTGCACAACTGTAAAGAAAACAGTGTCACCCTGCTTACAATTTTGTTTCAGAAAATAAGTTACTTTTTATGATAATGTTAGTCATGTGAGCCAGTGGGTTGGCTTTTTGAATAAATAAGACATGCAAACTTCTCAGTTCTTATTCTTAGTACAGTAAATATCAACGCACAAAAGTAAAAAAAAACGTCTTGTTACCAGGATTCCAGTTCACGCATACCAAACAAACCCAA